ATTTAATGCCTGAATCCTACTTGTTTGCCTTGGCCCTATCCTGTAAGCTGCAAATAAGCAATCATGTTCTCCTTGACAAACAATTTTATTGTGTGTAGTAATAAATTATTTCATGTCATTCTTTGGTCCTTATTAGGCATCTCACAGGATTTAATACAAGAGAATCAGACCAATGTTATGAGTGAACTGGAGTGTAGCCGGTGATTTTTTTTCTAACACTGTAGTTTGGTCCAGAAAGAATGCCTGTAAAGTGCAGTGATGATGCTTCTTGTTTCTAATAACTAAAGAATAGCTGGTGAAAGTTACATATGTCTTGAACGTCTGAAATAACTTAATTGGTGTAAACTGGTGTAGCACCATTCACTTCAGTGGAGCAATGACAATTTACATGTGCTGACGCTCTGACCTGTGATATCCATTTGTGAGTGAAGGTTGTGGGACCCATTTTACAACTGGTGAAACTCCCTGGTGCTGAAAACTATATATGTGTAGCTAGGACACCCCCAAGGTTCAGGAACTTTACAGAAACATGACTGAGCCTTGTATTTGTGATAGAACAAATGAAAAATAGTGTTTCTGTAGGACAAAGCCACGTCACCCAGATCTACCCAGACCCTGGTGTGGTTTTGCAGGGACTGTGGATTGCAATTCCCACTTATTGATATCCAGGCTGGGGAGATCATCCAATGCGAAAGGTGCCTGCTGGTGGAATCTCTTAGGCTCCAAGTGGCAGAGCTACAGGAGGAGGTGGCTAGGTTGAGGAGTGCCTGCATCCATGAGAAATTCCTGGACCGTGTTCATGAGGAGACAGAAGAGGTAGCTGTCCCGGTACACAGGACTGGGGACACACCACTGGTGGAGGAGACAGCTCAGGGTGGACAGTGGCAGCTGGTTACTTCTGGCAGAAGGCACTGCTCCACCCCTGTTCCGAACCCTTCCACCGTGGTACTAGGAAACTGTTATGCTTTTCTTTATACAGAAGATAAGCAATCATGCCCTACACCGGAGGAGGAGAAGCCCCTTACCCCCAAGGCAAGGAGTTCTGCTTCCACCACTGTGAGGTCTGAGACTCTCTTCGGAGGGGGACGGAGGCACCCATATGTCGCCCTGACATTTCTTCTCGGGAGATATGCTGGCTGCCGGGGGCCCATATCCGAGATGTTACGGAGGCATTGTCGAGGATTATCTGGCCCTCTGACTACTACCCCATGCTACTCATCCATGTCGGCACTAGTGAAACTGTGAGGTGTGACACTGAGTGGATCAAGAGTGACTAAAGGGCTCTGGGAGTACAGGTGATGGAGTTTGGAGTGCAGGTGGTATTCTCTTCGATCCTTCCTGTCGAAGGTAGGGGCCCGGGCAGAGACAGGTGCATCCTGGAGGTGAATGCCTGGCTGCGAAGATGGTGTCACCAGGAGGGCTTTGGCTTCATCAACCACGGGATGCTATTCCAAGAAGGACTGCTAGGCAGAGATGGCGTTCACCTTTTGAGGAGGGGGAAGACCCTATTTGGACACAGACTGGGTAACCTAGTGAGGAGGGCTTTAAACTAGGTTTGACGGGGGCAGGTGGGCAAAGCCCACGGGTAAGTGGAGAACATGGAGACCTGAGAGATGGGG